CTCTCTCAAATAAATAAATAAAATCTTAAAAAAAAAAAAGCCTCTTAGGGTTTGCCTCCCTCTCTTTATCTTATTTTATTTTTTCTTCCTTTCCCCTATGTTCATCTGTTTTGTTTCTTAAATTCCACATATGAGTGAAGGCATATGGTATTTGTCTTTCTCTGACTGACCTAATTCGCTTAGCATAATACACTCCAGTTCCAGGAGAGAGAAAATCTTTTTTTTTTTTTTTAAAGATTTTTATTTATTTTTTTGACAGAGACAGCGAGAGAGGGAACACAAGCAGGGGGAGTGGGAGAGGGAGAAGCAGGCTTCCCTGCTGAGCAAGAAACCCGATGCGGGACTCGATCCCAGGACCCTGGGATCATGACCTGAGCCGAAGGCAGACGCTCAACGGCTGAGCCACCCAGGCGCCCCGAGAGAGAAAATCTTAAGGAGGCTCCACAGCCAGTGTGGGGCCCATTGCTGGGCTAGATCTTATGACCTGAGCTGAGATCATGACCTGAGTTTACAACCCCAAGTTGTAAAGTGGAGTGAGATCATGACCTGAGCTGAAATCAAGAGTTGGACGCTTAACCATCTGAGCCACCCAGGCGCCCTGGTGTCTAGACTTCTTATAGTTCCTAACTTCTTAAGTTCCTGTAAGCAATAATTATTTAAGTTCTCTGTACTTCAGCTTTCTTTGTTGTAAAATGTGGATAGTAGGGGCACCTGGGTGGCACCTCAGATCCTGATTCATAAATATATTGATCAGCAAGTTATTTTTTCTGTAACAATATATATTTATTTTAAGGTGTAAAACCAAGGAAAAGAAAGACTTTTGGTTTGCCAGGGATAATTAAAAAGGAAAAGGATGCAGAGTCTGTGTAAGTATATTACATATTGTCAAAATCCTCTGTTACTAAGAATAAGACTGTTGTTTTGAATTTGAGAAGAAAAAATTCCATCAGAAATAACTCATAGTATGTATGTCTAAGGTTTGAAAAATACAGTTTTCTAAATACATTTACTAGCTCCTCTGGCTTTAGATAAAAGTGTTAACTTTACTTATTGTTTTAAAATTTTAAGATGAAAGCTTTAGTGTCTTGAAATTGAAACTTTAAAGGTACCCTTTTTATAAAATGATACATGCATATTTTAAAAAACCAAAGTGCAGAGGAAACTAAAAATTCTTCTAAGTCTTAATGCGAAAGAAAAAAGCCATGGTCAACAATTTAATGAAAATCCTTCTAGACAAGTCTAAACATAGAGGCACACAGCGATATATGTACACATAAATAGAAAATAGGGGAGAACAAAGGTGCTAACATGTCTTAAACATTTATACTAGGTCATCAATTTTTAGATGGGGGATGGAGTATAAATATGATTTACGTATTTTAAAAATTAATATACAAAGAATATATAATTTGCATATAATAAATACAACAAGTATTGGGTAAATGAAGTTTTCTACCTTGGCTACACATTAGAACCACGTGGAAAATTAAAATAGATATATTTGTCAGGCCCCACCTCAGACCAATTAAACCAGATTCTCAGGGTGTGAGGCCGAGCATAATTTTGGTTTGGTTTGGTTTTAAGCAGCCTGTCTGATTCCTAACATACACCTAGGGTTGAGAATCTCTAAGAGCTATGATTTACAAGAGACAAACTGGAATCTTTCTTTCTCTAATTTCTCGACCTTATATAGATTGACAGGATGCTAATCAAATCTTAAATGATTTGTTAACTGCGTAACACTGGCTGAAAATTTGTTTAAAATCCCTACTTCTCTAGCATAATAAGTAGAGCTGTTATAGGCACTCATATTTTCAGTATAAGAGAACAGTTTGTGCTTTGGGTGTTCTTATCTCCTACCTAGTTAGATTCTTTTTATCTGAGTTTCTCAGAGTGTCTAACCACTCCAAATTTCTGTTTCTTCCTCTCTCCCAAGTTTTACTTGGTTAACAAATTAAGACCAAGTGCAAAGTAATTTATATCTGTAGTTACCATCTCATCTGCAAATGTCTTTTCAGCATTTATGAAGCGGGTATTTTGCTAAGGAGATGGAATCCAATCTATTTTTTATAACATTGGAAATACGGAAATCTAAATAGTTGATTTGTAAGTGAAATTATAAATGTGGCCAGTTCATCTGTGGGTATATTGTAAAAAATAAAGGCCTTAAATTCAAATATTTTAATAATATATGGTTTTCACAGCTGTCCAGGGAGTGTACAATATTTTTGCTTATTCTGTGTTTTATTTTATTTTTTTTGAAGATTTTATTTATTTATTTGACAGACACAGCGAGAGAGGGAACACAAGCAGGGGGAGTGGGAGAGGGAGAAGCAGGCTCTCCGTGGAGCAGGGAACCCTATGCGGGGCTCGATCCCAGGACCCCGGGATCATGACCTGAGCCGAAGGCAGACGCTTAACGACTGAGCCACCCAGGCGCCCCTTATTCTGTGTTTTTAAAATAGTTTTTCGTGGTCAGTAATTTGCCAGTACTATCATTAGGCCACTTGGATATTGGAATGTTTTTTTTTACAAACACTGAGAAGACCAGAGCCAAAAACCAGTGCTTAAACAACTGCATCATGATTGCGTTATTTCAACACTTGCAGGCAGGAAAAATGTTAGAAATCGCTTTGTTTGAAATGCCTGAGGCTCATGGCAATGCTTCTTCGCATAGCCTGAAGGCTTGAAATACCAGCAATTGTGGAAGAGGGGTCCTGCTCAGAGCTTGCTCAGAGCTTGCTCTTCCTGGGGCTTCAACTGCAGGTCTCATTGCAGCCCACTGTGAAAGCAAACAGATGAGTGCTTCACCACAAAGACTGGAGAGCTCTGGCTAAAAGCCAGAGAATAAACTGTTTGGAACTTTGACACTTGTGTATCTTTTTAAAAAAGAAGGAAGTAGAAGTGCTCCAGTATCTTAAATGATTTGATTCCATAGATGGATTGAATTTATTATTATGGTGCCTTTTCTGGAACATTTCCTCCGAGTATGCATAGGAATATACCAGTAATAAGGAAGCTCTTTTTCAAAACTTGCAATTTTAAGTGACGTTTAAATGGCTATAAAGACACAAGAGGCTTGCGTTTACCCTCTTTGGTGCTTCCATTTGGATTAAGAGCAGTGTAGTCATCTACCTCTATTTTCAGTATTTCAGTCTATTCCATCCTGTCTTCCTTTAACAAAATTCTTCAGTTTGTAAATTTTTCTCTGGTTTGTGCTTAGTCTTTGGGTAGATAGAGATGACCTATTTATCCTATATATTAATTTAGTACTTTTTATTATTGTTCATTGGGCTCTCAAGGTATACTTAATACGTATGTTTTCAGTCTCTTATTGAAGTGGCAGATTCTGATATTATATGCATTAACTGTCTCAGGCCACCGAATATGTAACTAATCCAAATGCCTTTTAAATATTCACTCTAATTTCTGTTAGTGAATTTATTCTAGAATATGAATATAGAAATTTTTCTAACCTTATTCCTCATGGCCTCAGTGTCTTTATGGAGTTAGGTCTTTATTTGGTTGAGAAAGTTGGTCTATTTTATGTTTTAGTTTTACATTCAAAACACTTCGCTAGTTTATATCCAAATTAATATTGATAAGTTAAATGATAAAATACCAGTTTTCAACAACTTACTATATTAGACCAGAAAGCTTTTGCAAGCAGAATTCTGACTACTCATTTAACATAAATGGAGAAAAATGGTTTGGCTTCTATATATATGCTAGCTACGGATATTACTTCAAATAAAACTGAAGTTTTAACAAGAATATATTGTAAAATATTATTTACTTATATTTATCAATTAATAAAATTACAGACTTTTTTAAAAAGCCAAGCTTTCTTCTTAGAATTTCTTTTTTACAACTTTCTCTACCTGAAGAATTAAAAGCCAGTAGCAATCCTTGTAGGACTGACAGCTTCCTTTATATGATTCATGTGTATACTCATGGAAAATAAGTGCTTTTGAAGTACAAATTTTTAAAATACTTGTAAGCTGTTTGAGTTGTATTTTGCCGTGTATTATGGATATAGGAATGCCTTCTTTTGAACTTTAAAATTATTTGGTATATTTTAATCCTCATGATTTGATTTTTCTAAGTATCTTTGTAAAGTTTAAATAGAAGTTATGTTTAAATAATGTAAACACTTTCAATATACTATAATTACAGATCTGCTAGTTGATTATTTCTAATATTTTGTTTATTTTAATAGGGAATGCCCTGATGCAGATTCACTTGTAAGTTGATTTTACTTTGATATAAACCATGTAAATTAGCTGTTTTCATTAGGAATAACCAATATATTTGGGTTGAGTTGTTAACAAATCTTTCCAAGAAAAATAGTAACCAGCTTATTGTAAATTTACTATTAAAATTATTTTACAGATGCATTTTTGGCTTTATATTACTAGATGTTTTTCTATTAAATAGAAGGTAGTTCTGCCTACCTTTGTAAAGTGGACATTTTACTTTTAAAATTTGCGTGGTACCATACCATATTGCTTTTTCTTGGGAAATATGCCAGATCTCAGATCTGCATACTTTATTTTAAAATGTGATGCTCTTATTACTGTATTCCTGATCATTAAAATATTATTTTACCTATTCAAGCATTTGAGTTTTAAGAGATTATCAGTTTAGAAAAACATAATAATAATCATGGTCAGTATTTTTCTGTGCTTTTTGTTTTGTAGAAAGTTTGTTTATATTTTTTATTTAAATATATTTCTTTATATATAATTGAGGAAGACATTAAATGGAGCTCCCTGCGGTTACAGTGGGAGAGTAGATTTATGAAATGGTGTAAGTAATGAGTAGACAGACACATTTTTCAAATTGTTCATTAGACTCTGGTCATGTTGCTAAGTGTAGTAGAGTCCAGCTGTCTGTCTCCTTTGCTTATTGTTCTTGCTTGCATGATTACTGTGTTTTTTGGTCCCAAGTCATTTTGATCTTTTATAGCATAATGGTGTACCAAGATAAAGATATTTTGTGAAATACTGTGTTTTATGTAACTTAAATAAAACTAGTATGTTTTCTTTAAAATAAGGAAATTATGATTTCTTAGTAAATGTATAGTGAAAATAGAAAAATAGATTTCTAGTGAGCTCTAGGGTTAAAATCATCAGAGTGTTTTAGAATTACATTTAATTTACCAGTTGTCTGTTTTGATACTCTTGGTTTACTAATTAATGAAAAACTTAGCAGATGTGTTTGACATTTACTTGAGTATTCATCATGCATTTCATTTTGGAATTATTTATGCATAGAATTTATTTGATGATTGCAGTATTGAATTAACTACTTTAATACTTCATGTTTTATATATACTCCCTTAAATAAAACATTTGTAATCCTCTCAGCTCATTGATACTATTCTATAATGATCAATATTAACCAATTTTGAACTTTTAATCTGTACTTGTCTGGAATTAGAAAAGGACTTTTAAGAGGATGCATAAGGCTAATGCCATATAAGAAATGATTGATAAATTTGTGTAGAAAGAAAACATCTAAAATTTAAAAAAATACATCATTGAAGAATTTGATTCAGTAAAGATAAATTGCCAGAGTATATTTGCAAGACATGTAACAAGGGGCTACTTTCCTTTATAAAGTTTATACAAATCATTACTAAAGGTGAGCATTGTCCCAATAGGAAAAGGGCATCATGATAAAAAGAAGCTATTTTCATAAATAGAAATAGAAGTGGTAAATAACCATAAGAAATGTTATTCAGAATAGTAGTCTCATTCTGATGCAAATTAGAATGAAATTCTTATATTTACCTATCATTGGCAAAAGTTTTGGTATATTCATATTATTGGTAGGAATGTAAATTGATATAATCTGTCTTATGGGTAGTTTGGCAGTGTCTTCTCAAATAAGAAATGCATGTTCTTTTTGACTCTCCAGTCCTACTGCTTGAGGTTTACTGTTATGGCTATATTCACAAATTATATGTATGTGCTTGATCAAGATACATGCATACAGTAGTTGCTCCCCCCCTCCCTCCGCCTTATCTGAGGTTTCGCTTTCCATGGTTGAAGTTACTCATGGTCAATTGTGGTTCAGAAGCAGATGATCCTCCTTCTGATATATCATCAGAAGGTCATTAGTAGCCTAACACTACGTCACAGTGCCTGCTACATCATTTACGTCATGTCATCTCATCATGTAGGTATTTAATTATCTCACATTACAAGAAGGGTGAGTACAGTAAAATAAGATATTTTGAGAGAGACCACATTCACATAACTTTTTTTTTTTTAAAGATTTTATTTATTTATTTGAGAGAGAGAGCATGAGCAGGGTGAGGAGCAGAGGGAGAGGGAGAAGCAGACTCCCTGCTGAGCAGGGAGCCTTGATGATGCATGATGTGGGTCTTGATCCCAGCACCCTGGGATCATGACCTGAGCTGAAGGCAGGTGCTTCACTGACTGAGCTACCCAGGCGCCCCATCACATAACTTTTATTATAGTATATTGTTATAACTGTTTTATTTTATTATTAGTTATTGTTGTTAACCTCTTATTGTGCCTAAAAAAAAATCTCTTACCGTGTCTAATTTATAAATTGAACTTTATCATAGGTATGTATGTGTAGGAAAAAACATACTGTATATAGGATTCATTATTATCCCCAGTTTCAGGCCTCCACTGGAGTGTGGGAATGTATCCTCCCTGGATAAGGGAGACTAGAAGGAGGGAGGGAGAAGTAGAAGCAGATGTTTATTTCAACATTGTTTGTATTAACTCAACACTGAAAACACCCATCAAAATGGACATTGGTTAAATAAATTATTAAACATTCACTGTAGTAGTCATATGTTATAGAATTAGGTTGCCCTGTCTGCTGATATGGAAAGAGCTTACTAAAGAAAAGCAAGTATGGTTTTTAAGTAATTGCTGTTTTAAAAATATAAATGGGTAGATATCTTTGTTCTTTTTGTTTTTTTTTAAAGAATGTGTTACCAGATCCTTAAATGTACCTTTGGGGAGCGGGATTATAGTGGTGGTCCGCAGGTAGAAAAGGCTTTCATTATTTGTTTTATTTATGGCCTATTATTATTTATGACTTTTTTTTTATGGCTAGTCTTTTTGTTTTTTGGTTTTTTTTAATGTAGGCCTATACCTGACGTGGGACTTGAACTCACGATCCCGAGGTCAAGAGTTGCATGCTCTACTGACTTAGCCAGCCAGGCTCCCCTATGGCTAGTCTTAATAATTACTTTAAAAACAACCATAGTCTGCCTTGTTAGGGAAATTATTGTTTAATTTCTGTTCCTTTTTTAAATGATCTGTGTAATTAAAAAATTATTTTGAGGGACTGTATGTTTCAAAGGTTGACCAAGTAAGTGTGAATTGCTCTTTTCTTTTAGTTTTAGCCAATCTCCCCATTGTAAACAGAGATTGAGGAATATTCCACTAACTAGAGAGCTCTGTCCAAGCCTATTTTTTTTAAGTCACTACCACCACTATCCAAAACTGCCTTTAAGATAGTTGGGTGAAGTTACATGCTCTTTTTTTCATACTGCTTTGGCCTAATGTTTTCTCTAGCAGTGTAGGGTCTTTAAATAGGAATCATGGATTGAGTGGACAAAGGTATAAACAGGTATTGTGTAAGTTTTTATTAATATCAAGTTTCTATGAATAGTTTAGCATTGAAAACCTAATATGCTGAGAATCATGATTTATTGTGAAGTAATCAATTTGTAGTAAGTTTCAAAGATAGTGCAGAGCAGTCCCATGTACCTTTCACCTGCTTTCTCCTGATAACTTCTTGCAGAAATACAGTATAGTATCACAACTAGGATACTGACACTAATACAGACAAAGCAGAACATTTCCATTACCACAAGGGTCTGTTGTGCGGATTGCTCTTTTAGAGCCATTTCTCTTCCATCACTTAGCTTCTGGCAACAGCTAATCTTTTCTCCATTTTTATAATATTGTCATTTCAAGAATGTTATTTAAGTGGAATCCTATTATAACCTTTTCAGATTGGCTTTTTTTTTTTTTTAATTTTTTATTTATTTGACAGCGCGAGAGCAAGAACACAGCAGGGGGAGTGGGAGAGGGAAAAGCAGGCTTCCCAGCGAGCAGGGAGCCCGATGTGGGGCTTGATCTGGGATCATGACCCGAGCTGAAGGCAGACGCTCAACGACTGAGCCACCCAGGCGCCCTAGATTGGCTTTTTTCATTCAGCATAATTCTTTGGTTTCTTCTAGATTATTGTGTGTATGAATAGTTTTTTGTTGAATAGTATTCCATGATATAGACGCACTAAAGTTTGCTTTAACCATTCACCTATCATAGGACATTTAGTTATTTCTAACTTTTGGCTCTTAGAAAAAAGTTGCTTTGAAGAATCATGTATGGACAGTGTCTCTCTATGACCCTGGTAATTTTCTTTCTGAAGTCTGTTTTATCTAACAGAAGGACAGTCATTCTATTCCCCCCACCTTTTTTTTAATGTTTACATGGTATATTTTTTCCATTATTTTACTTTCAACCTACCTATATTGTTACCTATGAAGTGAGTTTCTTATGTGCTGTAGATAGCATCTAGTTGGGTCATGTTTTTTAATCTGTTCTGCCAATCTGTCTTTCGTTACATTTGGACAATTTATATTTAACATAATTATTGACATATCAGGGCTAAGTATGTCATTTTTTGTTTTCTGTTTTTGTTTTTGTTTTCATTTTGTTTTCTTTTTCCTGTCTTCCCTGTGGGTTATTTGAACCTTTTTTACAACTCCATTATGATCTGTTTATAGTTTTTTAGCATATAGTTTTGTAAGATTTTTTAAATGTTTCCTCTAGTTCACTCTCTAGTACCTTCAGATAGTTTTGTTGTTGTTTTTTTTTATGACCAGAGTTTATAGTTGTAATCTTCAAGAAGTTCGTCCATAAGCCCCTTCTCAGCCCTATAGAAAACAGCTCAGTATTCATCGGGGAGGTTATGTGCTATGGTGAGCACTGTGAATTGTGTAAGACTGATGAATCACAGACCTGTACCCCTGAAACAAATAATGCATTATATGTTAATAAAAAAAAGAAAACAGCTCAGTATTATTTGAAATTATTACATGTACTATATAATGTATTGTAAACAAATTTAAAAGTAGTATCAGCAAATCCTTAGAACTTCTAGGGGATTAAACATCTGGTATGTTTCTAGGGTACTGGGAATAAAAATCAAGTATTTTATAAAAACCTTAATTCTGACTTCTAATGAATTCACATTTGGTAAAGTTTATTTTTTAAAGTATTTTTAAATATTTGCATAAAAGCAAGCAATATGTAGAACTCAAAATACTCTAGTTCTAGGGATGTAACTATATACTTGTCATCTTTTTAATATATGGAATCTGCTCTTTACTATTAGATTTTTCATTTCTAGATTTTAATCCAGTCTGTTAACTCACTGCTGGCTGCAGTAGACTTTTTATTCAGATTGGAAGCTGTAGCCATGTAAATTCTGCTCTTAGTTCTCCTTGACTTTGTGCTGTGCCTTTTGTTGAGCTTAAGCAGGTGAATGGAGGAAGAGAACAGCGAACTTTACCAGTAGAAGAATACTGGCTCTCCATTTCCAACTGATCGCTTGGCATTTCTTGCTGATCTTTTTTTTTTTTTTTAACTTTTTGGAATTGTTTTATTCTTGTATTTTTTTTTTTGTAAGTTAGAAGTTATTTCTGGGATGCCTGGGTGGCTCAGTTGGTTAAGCATCTGCCTTCGGCTCAGGTCATGATCTCAGGGTCCTGGGATTGAGTCCCACATTGGGCTCCCTGCTCAGAGGGAGTGGGGGAGGTCTGCTTGTCCCTCTCGCTCTGCCCATCCCTCTGCAGGTGCTCGCTCTCTCTCAAATAAATAAAATCTTAAAAAAAAGTTTCCAAATAAAAACACTTGTATACCCTTAACTTTTTATTACATTTGCTGTAACAGTTGCATTCTTCTTACATGCATGTGTTCATGTGTGTATAAGTTTTTTTCTGATCCATTTCACTATAAATTCTATACATTATGGCCCTTCATGCTTAACTACTTAAATATTCCTAAAAACAGGAATATTATCTCAACATAGCATACTTAGAGAAGTGTCCCTCCTTGACTTCATCATCATCCCTTGGAGGTAACCAACTTCATTGTATTCTGATTTCTCCTTCCAGTGGCTTTTTTCCCATAAAGATAAGCAGGTATCTGTGTTTTTAAATTTTCCCATCTTTCTTACTTCTAGGCTTTTTTCAATTAGCAGTATTTCCTATAAGTCATTTCAGTGAGTTCATGGAAACTTTTTTTCATTTTTTAAAAAATAATTAAATGGTACTCTGTTTTCTGTATGTACTATAGTTTATTCAACTATGCTTGGACATTTAGGTGCTTTCCAGCAATTCTGAATTACAAATCATCTTTGATGAATAAACTTGTTGCATATGTGTGTTTAAATTGTTGGGGTGTATCTTTAGGGTAAATTCCTAGAAATTGAATTTCTGGGTGGGAGAGTAATAAATACATATCTGTTTTTGTTAGATAATGCTAAATTTCTCTCTGTAGGGATTATACTATTTTGTATTTATACCAGCAAAGTATAAGAGTACATTTTCCCACAGTTTGCTAACAGAGTGTATTTTTGAGCATCTGAATTTTTGCCTGTCTCATGTAAGGGACAATATTTTAGTGTAGTTTTAATTTTTTTGGTCATCTTTCATTTTTGTTTTTTTTAATTCTGTATTTTTGATAAAATTTCCATTTATTTAACCTGCCAGTCCTCTGATTTCATCATCTCTCATTTCCAGACACATACAGTCTTGTGCTTTTATTTCTTCACTTTAAAGAATTGGGTGAAATTTTGGTTACAGAACTGCTGGTGTTCCTGCCTGAATACCTGTTCTCTTCCTTGTAGTGTTTCTCCCCTTTCATTTTGCAGTGCTTTTCTCTTTCAGACAAGTGAAGTACAGAATGTGAGCTGAAGTTAACTTAACCAAAAAGATAGAACTTTCCCAGTGTTACTAATTTTATGAACCTGTTGTTATTTGATAAATGATGTAGCTGCTGTAAAAGGTAAAGCTGTTTTGCTAATCTTTTATATTTCTGTAGTTGGAGCCATCATTATAGTAAGTCTTTTTCTTCTTCTTCCCATAGAACATTCCTGATGTAGATGAAGAAGGCTATAGTATAAAACCAGAAGCAAATCAGAATGATATCCTTTTATTATCTGGATATTCCTATGGATTGTGTCTATAAGTAGACCATTATAACACAATATTCTGTTGTTTAAAAATGTGACTCCATATTTTTCATTTGACATGTTTTTACTAATGAAAGTTAGTAGTTCTGTATCTGTTAAAGTCCATCTGATCTCTTAAAGGTTTATATTCCTTTTTATAAATGTGTGAAAAACTGGTTATGCGTTAAGATAGTTTAAAAACTAAATTCTTTGACTGATATTCACATACCAAAGAGAACCATTTCTACTCATCTAGTGATTCTGATTCTGAAGATGAAGAACCAAAGAAGTATCGGATACAGATCAAACCTATGCATCCAAATAACTCCCATCACACAATGGCTTCCTTGGATGAATTAAAAGTGTCTATAGGAAATATCACGCTCTCACCAGCAATATCTGTAAGTAAGAAAATGAACAAGTTTGTGCTTTTTACATAGAAGCCTTTATTTATTTATTTATTTTTTTACCTCATCTACTTGCATCTGGTTAATTTTAGCAATAGTTAATTAAGCATATTGGATAAGGAAATATTTTATAATTTTTCTTCCATTTTATTGAGGTATATAGTTTTTAATTTTTATATAGGCAAATAAACTTGAGTTTGGCTTAGTTTTGCTTCCCTTCGAAAGTGTTTTACAAGGAAACAAAAATGTAGAAAATCTTTTTCTGCCATTTTATTTTATAAACTGTATGTTTCAGAAATTTTAACTGGCAGTATTAATCTTTTCCTCATCTAATTTTAAAGATTTTCATCCATATTTTATGAACCTTACGTGAATGGGAATTCTGTAAAAAGGGATTTAAAGATTAAATTATATGTCTGCTGCTTTTGTAACTGCAAGGTTTGTTTTTCCATATGTTTTATATTTTAAAAAGGCAAATACAAAAATTTTTAGTGATCATGGTTAATTCCTCAATTCTAAGATACCACACTTAACAGGTTTTGAGGGAGGAAAAAAAAATTGCTGTAACTAATATTTCCATTGATGTCATACTCTAAGTTCAGGAATGTTAAACTATGGGGGAAAAAGCTTAGAATGACAATTTAGTCTATCTGTACATGCTTATCATAATTGATATTAAGCCTGTTCTCCTCGATAATGGAGAATAAAAGTTCTCCCCATTTCATATTGTTACTTAATTATGTATTTTAAATAGTCTGTATGTATTTGGGAAAAGGTGTTTTTCTCTCAGTCATGCACTTTTAGCATTTAATTTTTTTTCTACCAAAAAGTTCTGAAGTGAGGTTTGCTATTTTATTTATTGCTATTTTAACATTAGGATTAATGCTCAGATTATTATATAGATATAATTATTATTATATAGATATAATTTTATTACTGTTATTATATAAATGAAGTTATGAAACCATTAAAAATTCTTTATTGTGTAAGAGCAAAACTAATTTAAAAAATACATGTAAATAAATAAAACCAAATTAGGGGCGCCTGGGTGGCTCAGTCGTTAAGCGTCTGCCTTCGGCTCAGGTCATGGTCCCAGGGTCCTGGGATCGAGCCCCGCATCGGGCTCCCTGCTCTGCAGGAAGCCTGCTTCCCCCTCTCCTACTCCCCCTGCTTATGTTCCCTCTCTTGCTATGTTTCTCTCTGTCAAATAAATAAAATCTTAAAAAAATAAAAAAATAAATAAAAACCAAATTATAGGGGAATATATATGCCAAAACATTAAACACCTAGCTCTGGGTAGTGAGAGCATTAATGGTTTAAAATTTTGTCCTTTGTACTTTTCTCTCTCTTCTATTTTTTAAAAAATGGTGAACATATTACTTTCATACTGAGAAAATAAATAATGAGGAAATTTTAATCGTTAATATTGGGCTTGAAAAGAGGATAGTTTGAGTATATTTTGCTGGCCAGTTTGCTTATCTAGCTCATGTCCCTTACCCTAACAATGTTCTGCATGTGTTTTAAGGTGTATAGACTTTAGGTATGATTCAGAAGTGAATAGACAAATTATGAGACTAAGAAAATAAGATATTTTAAATTCTAAAATGTACACTATGTCTTTTTCTTTCCATGTACAACTAGAGACACAGCCCAGTAAGTACAAGATTTTATATTTTTACCTACTGACTTAAAAAAAAATCCTTTTAATGTTTGAATGTTGATTTTCAAAGTATTTGTTTTAAATTTTTTAAACTAGCAGATCACAGTATCTTGCTGTAGGTACTAACATTTTGATAATCTTTTACTATAAAACACTGAAAGTTTTTTTTAGTGTAGTTTATAATTGAGTAGATATACTAAAAACAACTTAAAATTGGATGCCCATTAACAGTTTATGAAGTATGAACCTGGCTGGCTCACTCTGTTAGAGCATGCAACTCTTGATCTTAGCATTGTGAGTTTAAACACCGTGTTGGGCATGGAACCTACTTAAAAAAATTAAAAATATATTTAAAAAAAAATTTTTTTTTTTTACCAAGTATTTCATTACCAAATTATTTGTTTAATGACACGTAGTGTTTGCATTTCTGTTTTAGGTGCAGATGAATCGGAATTCATCTAGTAAGTTTGACATTTGAATTGGTTATTTTATGTCTATTAAAATTTATCAGGCAGGGGCACCTGGGTGGCTCATTTGGTTAAGTGTCTGCCTTCAGCTCAGGTCATGATCCCAGGGTCCTGTGATCGAGTCCCATGTCAGGCTCCCTGCTTGCTGGGGAGCCTGCTTCTCCCTCTCCCTCTGCTGCTCCCCCTGCTTGTGCGCGCTCTCTCTCTGTCAGATAAATAAATAAAATCTTAAAAAAAATTTATTAGGCAGTTTGCTAAGCTTATTGTAGCCTTACATATGTAGTTAGAGAAATAAATGGTTTGTTCTCATCACAACTGTTAACAACAGACTAGAAGGATACTAACTTTAAACAGAAGACAACTTAGGTATATTATTTCTTTTAGCATTTAGACATGCCTTCAAGTTTAATACTTGGCTACAACATTTTTCAGAAATCAACAAAGCCAAAGATAACAATGTTAAAACTGTTTAACTGGCATAACTCTGCCTCATGAACCAGAAGGCATTATGAGATGAGTAAGTTTTAGCTTTACTTACTTATAAATCATATCATAATTGCAATTTGTATTGTATGGTTTTTAGTATAGTAACTTAATTATACTAAAAAATTGGGAGGTGGGTGCTGGCATCTTCAGCATCATCATTAAAAATATCGAAGGTGGGAAAAAGTAGAGTTGAGGCAGCCTACTCAAAAGTTATGCGATTTTGTAAACATAAGGCTTAATAAAAATCATAACATCAATCCTATTAAAAATTCTACCCATAAGATTAGGGGTACCTGGGTGGCTCAGTCAGTTAAGCATCTCCCTTTGGCTCAGGTCATGATCCCGGCATCCTGAGATCAAGCCCCAGGTTGGCCTCCCTGCTCAGTGGGGAACCTGCTTCTCCCTCTTCCTCTTCCCATCCCTGCCCTCCCCCCTTCGGTTCATGCTCTCTCCTTCAAATCAAAATTTTTAAAAAAATTCTAGCACAATTGACAAGACTTATTAAATGCATAATAAATACCAAACTAAAAGTAAGATTTTAGTTTAAAAAAAAATGGTGAGTAGCTTATTGATATAGGGATGCCAGGAAAAGGAGGATAAAAGTGGGCTGGTTTTATGCAGTTACTTACAAAAGGGCAAATTGCAGAAACATGGAGGAGAACAGCACAGTAGGTACTTTGGGGCCAAACAGAGGGCCAAATTGAGGTCAGTGTGGGACAGTGTGGTAGGAAGGGACATCATGTACAGAGTGGTATTCCTCATAGTTTGCTGCACTTATCCATGTTGCTGTATTTTCATTCATCAGCTATTGGTTAGTGATCTAAGACATTAAGGTGCAGGGAAATTTGCTTATGAACTGACATGACTTTTGCACATTACTGAGTCTCTTTACTTTCGTACAGTTGCTAATGAAATGATTCACATTACCAGTGCAAAAGGGAGCAAAACAGCCTATCTTATCAAGACTTGCTCTAGGTTCCTATAAAAATTTTAATTTTTCAAGATATCCTTCAAGAATAACTATTTTTGGTCAACATAATAATATTCTTAGAACTTGAAAAATGCTTTCATGATTCATCAGCTATAATTCTTGAGTAATAACGTATTTCAACGTATGTTCTAACTTTTATAGTTCTAGCCCATATTTCAGTGATCTGAACAGCAGTTTTATTTTCATGAATATCATAGTTTCATTGACCTAAGTAATTTCTTACCAAAGATGTTAGAAGAAATGAGGACATAGCAGAAATTCAGCTATTATTTTGATATTCTTAGATGATATTCTTAGCATGTGAAAACTTGCTGAAGTCTTATTTTCCTGGGGCGTCTGGGTGGCTCAGTCGTTAGGCGTCTGCCTTTGTTCGGCTCAGGTCATGATCCCAGGGTCCTGGGATCAAGCCCTGCATTGGGCTCCCTGCTCGTCGGGAAGCCTGCTTCTCCCTCTCCCACTCCCTCTAAATTCCCTCTCTCGCTGTGTCTCTGTCAAATAAATAAATAAAATCTTAAAAAAAAGTCTTATTTTCCTTTTCTTCATAATTTAAAAAACTGTTACCAATTCCACAATTTTAAAATTGTTCATAGTAATGAGTTATGCATATAATGTTTCTCTTAACATTTAAATATTACTCAGATTATGAATTTTTTCATATTTCGATTTTTTTAATTAGGTGAGGAGCTAACAAAATCAAAGCCATGTGCTGCATCCAATGAGTAAGTTTCATAGTTATATTTTATTTTTAAATAGACTATTCATAGCAGTTTTAGGTTCATAGCAAAATTGAGGGGAAGCTACAGAGGTTTTGCATATATATTCTCTGCCCCCATATATGCCCAGCCTCCTTCACTATCAGAATCCCCCACTAGAGTAACACATTTGTTAGAACTGATGAACCTACACTGACACATCATTGTCACCGTGGTTTACATTAGAATCCACTCTTGTTCTTATGTATCCTGTGAGTTTTGACAAATGGGTAAGGACATGTGTCTCTACCATTATGGTGTCATACAGAATAGTTCAACTGTACTAAAAAACCTTTGTCCTCTACCTGTTCATCCTTACCCCTTTACTGTGTTTAGAATTAAATATTCTTTTGTCCTTTTTTTCTAGAGTTTTATTATCTTTGCAGTTTCAGTTTGAGTGTTGGTAATCATCCTCTTTTCTAAGCTGTGAAACACTCTGGAGTTTCTAGCTGTTTTAAATTCTCATTTGACACTATAATTTTTTTAAAAATCCTTATAAATGGCCTTGGTGGCTTCACTGCCTCTAAATAAAGGCTAATGTCCCAAGTTCGTTCATGTCTGTATTTCAACTAGTTATTCTCATGGAAATTTTCTTTCTTCCTTCAGTTTTGGCTGTGACTGTGTAAAATAGATTGTCCTTTTCATGAACTTCAAAACAAGGAAGTGTCTCAATTAAGTTAAAAAGGCTAGAAAACGTGTTGCTAGCTCTTTTTAAAAAGAAAAAAATGTTTTAAGCCAGTGTTTCATGGGTCCTTTTTCATTTCAGTATCTGTCAATAAGAATACATTCTTTTAATTTCTTTTTTGCATAAGTAAAAGTATAGGCTTCATTAAATGGATAGCTTAAGATAATTTGATACTTTGAAAACTAGGCACTAATTGAGCACAGTGATGGTATTCATTTATCATTTTTAAAGGTAAGTTCAGTGTTTTAAAAATTTTGTTTTTAGTAATTTATGCAGTTGTGATTCTCTACGTTTTATATACAGGATGTAGTATGCTTCCATGTAGGTGCATGTTGAGATACTAGATATGTGCTTATAGATAATTGTACCATTTTCATTGTAATGAGCCTGTTTTCTAAGATTTAAAAACACTCTATTAAATAATGGCAGTTTGATACATTAAAATATTGTTTTAATGGGATTAAGTTGAATCCTAAGAGAAATTAGTCCGGTGGATTTCAAGGGGTCATTGGTGGGAAATCTTTGGTTATACAGCATGTTGAGTTTTTTGAAACTTGAAAGTTGATGCTCTTGATGATTTTGTCCATAGTCTTGATGACCTCTCGTAAAAAGACATGCATGATCCAAACATTTCACTAGACTGCCGCAGTGGCCCAGGCTGTGGATTGTCTAGGGAGAAGTCCTGCCCTTGCATGATCTACTATAGTAATCAGACCTTTGAAATTTATATCAAGCTGTTGGGCTTACTTCTGTACTTGCCAATTTCAAAGATGAAGAGGAAAGGGTAAAAGATTTTTTTAAAAGTACTTAACTCTGACCTTATAAAATTTCTGCCTGATTTCCTGTGCATGATTTGGTGCTAGGTGTGAATGAACAGACCTGACACTACTGTAGAATCAAGTACCTTTGTGTCCTTGGGCAGCTCATTTAGACTCCAGTGGGCTGCTTTTCTTCATTTGTAAAGCTGAAATGATTTCTATTCTTACAGCCCCAAACACAGTTAAGAAGGTGTGATTGGTGCCCATTATCTTCTCTACTGCCTCCTACATAATGTTATCAGAAGTTCTGCTTATAGTAGTTAAAAAAAATTTTAATTTAAACCAGTATTTGTTAAGTTTCTTCACATATTCCATTGGCAGAATATCCAACTTTTAAATGCTATATATTTAGCTATTACAATTCTGTGAGATAAAAGTGACTAAATTTTATACTAATAAAATATTCCTTTGTTAAAATCTTTATTTTTAAAATGTTATTGCAGGAAAGGGACCAGTGATTTACTTGCTTGGGATCCCCTGTTTGGACCATCTCTTGATTCATCTTCTTCAACTTCACTAACTTCGTCATCATCATCAGGTAATGTGTGTGTGTGTATGTGTATATATATATATTTAAACTGAGGAATTCATTAGTCACTTTTGTGTTATACTTAGCGATAAAAAATATTCTTAACTTATCCTCTCATATTGCCAGATAAAGTGATTTTATACTGGTTTTGTTAGCTGAAGGACCTATGGCTTAAACAAAAATTTATGAAACACCAATTTTTTTAATTTATATATTTCTATGCATCATTCCCTTATCAGTGCCCAAATAATTCTCACTGTTCTTAGATAATTCCACTGCATAGATGTGCATTAGTGTTATCAGTCTTTTCTTACCAGACATTTGAGTTGCATCCAGTTTTCTAGTATTATGAAAAGCCATGGATAGAATTTTGTGTACGTTTCGTAATATCCTTATAATTTATCAGTACAACGTTTGAGTCTCAAGATATACCCATTGGTATTTATTGCCAAACTGCTTTCCAGAAAGGCTTTAGCACTTCCCAAGCAATGTGTCAAAGAACCTGATGAATGCTTTTTAGTTGTTGTTTTGGCAAGAATATGTTCATTTTCTCTTTTCTTCAAAATATAAAATCCCACTAGCCAACAATCCAAGTAGGCATCAAAATGCTTGTTTAATAAAACCATTGCTTGTTCAAAGCAAGAAAATAAATTCACTTTAAGTTGGTCTTCAGCCTTCTCTGGGATTTCATGAATGCTGTTCAGTATTTGGGGTTAGGAGAGTGATGGAATGGTGAGGAGAGAACTTGAATTGATCGAGTTCATGCCACGTTGCTCTGCTAGGAGTTACACACACTCTGTTTAGTTTCACTTCATTAACTGCTCCATGAAGTCCATTTTAATGTCCCTGTTTGTAGATTAAAAAAAAAGTAAAGCTCAGAGATGATCAGGAACTTCTCTGAGATCATTTCATAGGAAATGATGAAGCATTGATTCAAACCTGGATCTTACTAATTTTAAAGTCTTCATTCTGTTTATTGCACTCTGACATATTAACTAAACTATAAGCCATTCCAAAACATTTTACTATTAATAAAGTAAACACCGGTATTTAAAATTAGATTGTTCATAAACCAATTTTTAAAAGAAATTATAAATGGATGTTAGGCAACCTTAACTCCAATTTGGAATTTTGAAGGAGCAGTGATCTATATTTAATACTTGTAAAACAGCAAGAAACAATGAAAGATTGTTGAACATAATCTGAAGTGGCATTATAGCCTTCCTCAATGGGCATGTTATTATTTAGTTTTATAAAACTAACCTAATAGCTTGTATAAGAAAAGTAAGTATACAGGAAAAACTGAAGTTGTCATTACAGTCTCTTTTTTGTTTAGTGAAAATGTCAGAATGATGTTTTGTATTTAGAATGAAGATCATTCTAAGTATGTTTTTCAATTTTGTTAATATATTTAAAATTATTTTTTCAAAATACTGAATAAAAATTTTCACATTGGTATCACAGAGGCTTTAGTTATATAGAAAATTTCTTCCTAACTCTGCCCATAGTTTCTTACTCTTTCAGCACTGTCTCTTCCTTTTCAAAAAAGTTCTTGCTTTTCCTCTTGCTAACTGTCTCAAGTATGTTTCACCCCTATCACTTTTAACTTCAGGTTAAAAATGGTTCATTTTTGTTCAGTGGCCATTGGATGTGTAGTAGCTATGAAATAAAAAGTAACAAAAGGTTAATACATGTTTTAAGTTCACTTTTGTATGCATTTTTACCTTCCTATACAGTCTGAAAAATGATGTCAAATTATTTTACCTTTCCAAGAATGTTAGTCATGTTGAAAAGAGATGATGGTAAAAATCTCAAAAGATTTGACAAGGTGAAAAGGTGATAGTGCTGTGTTACTCAGCAAAGTGCCTGACTGGCTAGTGATAGATAAAATCTAGTGTTGGAATTAATATAAAAAACTAGTCTAATATTTTTCAAAAGATAATTTTAAGGCATTTTTGCAGATTACAAGTGCTCAGTTAATTCATCAACAGAAGAAGTGGTCTACAGTAAGACTTATCATAGGAGGGTTTTATTTATGTATCAGTGTTTAGACTTTTGCCAACTGTTAGAGATACCTTTTGCTCCTCTGAGAAGACAGGAATAATTATGGCTTTATATATTTTGGACCTTCAGTTTTACTCATATGTTTTTTAAGTTTCTTAATCCACGTACTTATTTTCCTCAGTTAATAGAAAATTTGGGCTCAGGTTTTTGTTTAAAAAATGTATTACTACATTTTTCTAGTTTTGAGTGATTAAAATAACATTAACCTGAAACAAGAAAACTATTTGGCTATGTAGATTCATGCTTTTGTTCAAGAATTTTCCTGTTGCTTCTGGTTTTCAACTGCTTTCCCCTCCTTCAGCTTAAGGAACTTGAAGAGTGCAACAGAAACTCTTTGTCTCGCAATAATTTGTTTGAGTGTACAGTAATTGAGTCTTTACTTGAAACCAGCATGTATTTGGAATTTGAAAAAGCAAATTGTGATTATTTGAAAGAGCTGAACTTTAACAGTTCTACCAGGCTAGGTTTGTTTGGAGTCAATCTTACTGTAATTTGGACAGGCCGTTTGTCAGTAATGAAGCTCAGGTATACATGTCTCTATGATGTTAAGCTCTCACAAGCTTGAAATAACTTGGATATCGGTCAGTGCTGTTTTCATTGATAATGAGCCTATTTTTAAAGTCAGTATGTCATAGCACAGGGAAGTGTTATGGTTCTCAGGTTGGTGCACATTTCTTCCAGTGTACTGTTTAAAGTAGGAGCGCAGCATGAAAGAAGTGGTGCTCACTGGAAGAAGGCAGCAGCCTTAGAATCTACACATGGTTTCTTAGCAGCTTTATGTTGTTTCCTTCAAGCAACTTGAACTGTGCTTGTATCTATTATCCTTTCCTAGGACATGCTTTCTAAATGATTCCATACCCCTCACGCTGTGACTTTCACGCCTCTGTGACTGCCTTTCCTGTTGCCTCCATTCTCCTTCCTTTCACACCTACATTGCTTCATCAGTGACCATGGGTCGTCAGTTTGTTTCTCCATGGATATACTGAGGCCTGTTCATATATTTTTAACTTTGCACATCTGCAGACTTAATGTAATGATTTATATTTCTTCCCATCCATATTCTTCAGTCTGAATTACAGCCCCACCTTTTAGAATGAACCAAAGGGATTTGAAAATCCTTTAAAATAAAGATGACTTAAACAGGGATGCCTGTGTGGCTCAGTCGGGTAAGCATCTGCCTTCGGCTGAGGTCATGATCCCAGGATCCTGGGATCGAGTCCCTCGTCAGGCTCCTTTCTCAGCACGGAGCCTGCTTCTCTCTCTGCCTGCCGCTCCCCCTCTCTCCCCCTCTCTGACAAATAAGTAAAATCTTTAAAAAAAAAAAAAAAAGAAAAGAGATGATTTAAATGTATTTGCTTCCATTCTTCACTCTTGTTTTGATTATGCTAATACATTCGTGACTTTTGATGATGTACACTTGGATTTCATTAATTTCTACCAAGATAGAGTTATTTTTAATTAGGACTACTCAGGTTAGTGTCTGATTTATAAAGTGGCAAAACTTGCAGATGGCGTTGAAAAAACAGTGAACATTAAATTTATGTAGGATTTAGGAGCAGTGAATGTTATATAGGACTTCTATAGGGGGTGTTTTCTTACCAAAAATTATAGTGATTTGCAGGAATTTTTTTCATAAATAAGATATTTTTAATACTTCTAATTATCACCAGAAACTTTGCAGTGTAATTCAACTTGTAATTTGACTTTTTTTTTTTTTTTAAAGATTTTATTTATTTATTTGAGAGAGAGAATGAGATAGAGAGAGCATGAGAGGGGGGAGGGTCAGAGGGAGAGG